TTGAAAGTGTTAATTGCTTCCGTGTGCATCGTTTCTGATCTTAAAACCAGAAAAATTCCGTATTTTTCCCTTAGAAATAACTATTTAAAATTGGAACCCTAGAGCGTATGATTGTTATTAATTAACGAGTTGTTTTACAAAAACTCATATAACTCCGGATGTTATAGCTCGATTTTGAAATACCAACTATTTTTCGAAAGCTAACAGATAAGAGCAATCAATTTTAGTATAAAATATAGAAATCTCCATATAATTTCCCCTAAAAAAAGCATTTAAACTGATTTGACACAAATAAAAAAGTAACAAACAATAGACAATGTTAGTCCAAGAAAAAACCCCTCACCACAACCGAGACCACCAACAACAATGGCCTTGATAAGATAGATAACATTATTCTCATCCTTTTACCTTCCACTCTAGACAACATTACTCTCATCCCTCTACTATCCACTCTACACATCTGAGATGAGTAGAAGACACTCACATTTACTTGGCTTAGTTAAATAACTCACAACAACGGAAACATATTTACCTACTACGGCTCGCTTTTTTTATCAGCCATTGCTCCCCCCCATTCCTCCCAGGACATCCATCAAATCCATTTAACTCATTACTCTACCATAAATTCCTTTGCTTTTTAATTTGAACACAGGGCAAACTTAGCATTGAAGTTGACTTGGCAATGGTTGAATAACAAGTGGCGTAGTCGTCGTCATCCTAGTCGATGTTGTTGCTGTTGTTGGTTTAATTGCACCACAACATACCCTGTTTGTTGCTTCCAAGAAATTACGAAAAACTATTTTTGTCAACAATTAAGCCTCAACATCAAATACTCATTTGAAAAAAGAACGCCAAACAGGCAGCAATGGGAGAAAAGCCCAAAACAAAACTCTCATTATGTTGGTAATTAATTATGGTAACATGGCTTTGCTTAAATGTTCTCCACGGCTGTAGGTTTGAAGGATTACACGTGGAAAAAAATGTTTTTGAAATTTCCTGAATATATGGCTTGAATGAGCGAAATACAAATTTGTGCTGGGGAGCGTATGATTGTTATTAATTGTTGGGTTGTTTTACAAAAATACCCTTAACTTTGGAACCAAGTGGAAAATTTTGAAAATAAAAACGGTTTTGGAAAGACAAGAGATGTGGCCACCCGATTCGTATGAAAACTAAAACTCGTTTCATGTGAAAATTTTGAATAATTCGTACATGTGTTGAGAAAATACTTTTCGTATTATTGTATTTAATAAAATACCCCTTGAAGCCTTGGATTTTCCCATTTTATTTTGGTGTAAATAGTTGCACAGTCTTCCCTAGAACCAATTTAGTTTAAAAATTGTATCAGGTTTGGGGAAAATCGGAATGGAAAGTGAATTTTTAAAATCGGCACCCTTGAGCGTATGATTGTTATTATTTCCTGGGCAGTTTCACAAAAATCTTCATAACTCTGCTATTAGCTCATAGATTTTAAAAAGAAAAACGGCTTTGGCGAGGTAAGAGATGTGGCAATCGATCTCCAATTAATTTTAGAATACGTTTCCCATAAAAACATTGAATATTTCACACATATATTCAGCAAATATTTCCTTGCAATTGTATTTTGAAGACTTTCTTTCCAAGCCTTCGTTTTTTCTAACTTATTTTTTTGTAAATTGCTGCACTGTCTTCCGAAGGGTCAATATAGTTCAGAAATTAAAAAAGCTTTTAGGAAAATCGTAACGAAAATTGATTTTTTTTTAATTGGTCCCCTGAACGTATGATTATTTTTAATTCCTGGATAGTTTCGGAAAAGTCCACATAACTCTGTTATAAACTTGCCGATTTGGAAATGAAAAACGGGTTTGGAAAGGTAAGAGATGTGGGCATCGTAATCAAAATATTTTTAGAAATCGTTTCCCATAAAAATATGGAATATTTTTCTCATACATTTAGAAAACATTTTCGTACTATTGTGTTCTCATGAATTTCCCTCTATGTTTTGATTTTTTCCAATCAATTTTGGTGTAAAAAGTTACACTACCTTCCTAAGAGTCCATAAAGTTTAGAAAATGTAAAAAATTTAAGCAAGTTTGTACCGAAAAGTTAAATTTTAAAATTGGCACCCCCGTGCGTATGAGTTGTATTAATTACTGAGTTGTTTCTGTAAAATCCACACAACTCTTCCAATAATTGTTGGATTTTGAAAAGAAAAACGATTTTGGTAAGCCAAGAGAAGATGTTATCAGGTTTAGATATAAATAAAATGATCATGCACATAAAAAGGATGAGTATTTTACACGGAAACTAAGAAAATATTTTTCTCACAATTTTCTTTTCTAGAATCTCTGTTCTATTTTCAATTTTTTCCACCCCATTTTCATATGTATTGTTAGATTAGCCTTTAAATAAACGGTGCTGTATAGAACATTCCAACATTTTCTTTAAAATTACGACAAAGCAAATTATTTTCAAAATTAGAAACCTCGGGCGTATGAGTGGTATTAATTATTGGACGGTTTTGCAAAAAGACGTGTAACTCTGGAACTAAATGAAGTATTGCGAAAAGTAAGGTGGTTTTCGAAAGCTAAGACATATAAGATTCTTAATTGAAGATAAAAAAGGAGGAGGTGGGGTTCTGTCAGTCAGAAATTGAAACAAAATTACACATGGCAACTCTAATATCCATAATTTTGGAAAATTGCTTACAATCTGCGTAAAATAATACAAATTTGTAGATAAGATAATATTTGAAGAAATTTACTAACAAAAAACTCGAGATTCTGCCACCATCCATCCATTGAAAATATTTAATTTCCAAAAATATCATATTTAAAAAAAACTGCATATCGCTTAGAAAAATATTCTTAAAAATTCTGTAGAAATTTTAGAATATTTTTGAAAATAAAAAAAAAATGAGTATCCCAGTTTTGAAAAAAAAAAATAATATATAAATAATAAAAATAATCCAAAAAAAAATTTAATAACTAAAAATATTTATGCCAAAATATCCTTCAAATCGAGGATCGGTTGTCAAAAGCCTTCAGGCAAACAATTAAAAAAAATCTCGTTAAAAAAGACTGTAAAAAAAAAACTTTTTAAAATTTGTTTTGAAAAATATTTTCGAAATTTTTTGTAAAAACAAATTATAAACAAGTAAAACAGCAGTTAAGTTCGGCCGGTCCGAACTTTTAATACGCGCCACCAAGTGAAAGAAACTTGAAAAACTTGAACGAATTCCGAAAAATATCGTTTACATGATGACCTTTATACGCGGAGTATACGGAAACGTGCACCTACATAAGTATTTTTTTTTTCATGGACTGTAGTACCCATTGCGAACTTCAAATACCAAATTTGAAAGAATTCTGGTGAATAATGTCGCTAAAATCCTCAAAATACCGAAAAAAGGGAGGTACCATTATATGGAGGCTATGCGAAGACGTGGACCTACATCACCCATGTTCAATACCAAAAGTCCTACAGACATCATACACATTTGAGTAAAATTTTATCAACCTACTTCATTTCGTTCGGAAGCTAGAGTGATTTCCACAGACGGATAGACGAACGGACATCGCTAAATCGATATCGAGTTTTATGCTGATCAAGAATATATGTACTTTGTGGGATCTAAAATGTAAATTTCGAGGTGTTACAAACGGAATGACAAACTTAATATACCCTCCATGCTATGGTGGAGACTATAAAAAGTAGATTTCAAAATATAAAAAAAATATTCTCCAAAAATCACAGTTTCAAAAATCAATGATTTTGGCTATAATTCGCAAGAAAATCTGGCAGTTATAGCTCGAACAGACATTTCAAAAAATAAAAAAAAAATATTCCCAAAACAAATCACAGTTTGAAAAATCAATTAATTCCGCTATAATCCTCAAAATATCTGGCAGTTATAGCTCAAACAGACATTTGTAAATTATAGTCCTGCAAAAATCCTTCAAAAAGTCAAGCCATTTCTATAATATTTTTACAAATTCCATATTTTCAGAAAAAAACACACGGTTTTTCAATATCCCTTTAAAAAAAGTATGCAAATCCATTTCTCATTGTGTATCCTTCCTCCATTGCCAGGCGGCGAACCAGCTAAGGTTGTCTAGGTAATTATGGTACATAGCTATTGTCAACATACACTATGCAAACAAACAATCACGCACACACACACACATGAATACATCCCAAAAATCTCATCACAAGTCCCAGGATGTGTGTGTGTGTCTGATTTCTTTTTTTTTCTAAACTAAGTTATCAAATTTAATTTGTGTGTCCAAAATGAAACTGGGATGCATACATATTTTATAAATGCAATTAGTTTTAATTATTAATAAACATTTTCCGAGACGAAATTATCATAGTCTAGACATAAAATAACCACCCACCTCTATCCAGCAGACAACAGATTTCATACCCACAAAGGAAAATAAACAAAAAAAAGAAGAAAGGGTTTTCATTTCTTATTGGGTCCAAGAAAATTGTGTGTCAAGGCAATACACACAAAAGGAAAAACACACAAAATTGTTGTTGTCTTCTATATAGACCATAGGCAACAACAACTACGACGACACCATCAGTATCAAATGGGAGAAAAAAAGGCTGCTGATGGTTGCATTCTTTAAAATTTATGGCTTCTTGAAACTTTGATTAAGTAATCATGAGCCCCCAAAAAAATGTCTAAATGGTAGTTCATAAAATTTCCCTCTTTGGCATTTCACATTTCTAGTAGGTGTTTTTTTTTCTGCTAAACCATAATGTAGATATTGAACTTGCAAATCATTATCTTCAGGAATTTGATACGTCTTAGATTTTGTAGAGATTTTCATTGAAGACACCCACACTTTTTGCCACAACAAGAAAATCGAAGTGGGTAAATTTCTTTTTCATTTCATCTCACAGCTTGCAAAATTTTCGTTAATATTTTTTTTCACTTTCGCTTCACTAATGCTGTGATATATTTATATAATTACATTTTTTCTTATCTTATTTTGAAACATAATTTATTTTTTCTTTAATTACTTTATCCATTTCCAAATTTCTTTTTTTCATGAATTTTGCAAAGCTTTCTTTATATACAAAAACTCTTTTTTAGTTATATATTTTTTTCTTTTTTCAAAAAAAAAATGTTGCCTATTTTTGGGCTCCACAAATTACAAACGGCACTGGCGTAAACGTGTAACACGTTTAATCCGAAAGTCTGCGCGTAACTAAAAGAAGATTTTTCACATCATGTTTCATATGTTTCGAAGAAGGCAGAGATGAAATTTTACTCTCTCTCCATACATAGGTATATATATCCTGTTTCAGGCCAATACAATCTACAAAGGACGAAAAAACGAGACTTTAAACGAATGGATGCTGTAAAACCGCTAAATGTATTTTCAAACCTGTGTGGAGAGTTGCTCATTTGTTCCACAAAAACTTTACTTCATCTCTCTCGCTCTCTCTCTCACCCACATTGCTCTACGTCATTTGTGGATGTTAATTTGCCAGATGTTGGGATTTGCCTTCATTTGCACATTTGTTGTGTGTGTTATATCTACAACAATTAAAAACCATTAATAACAATTCACCATAATTAACACACTTGGAATTTAAAATCTATTCCCAATTGTGTTTTTTTTTACCATTCGTTGTGTTAACAATTAGATTATTCCTTACTGCAATGCAAATATGGCGGGGTTTTTCTTCAGCTGTCAGTTACTAATAGGGTTCACAAAATCGAAAAGTGGCAAACACAGAAATTAGTGTTGCAACCCCTAATGGGCAAGTGTGACCAATGTCATCTTAAACTAATTTGCAATTAAATAAGAAAATTGAAAAAAAAAATCATTAACAGCCTGTTCCACGATGTCGAAAGAACACGTTCGCACAACTTTTACACGACAAACAGCTGATTTCCGTTCCACTAAAATCCATCAGAACGAAAATTTGCACGAAAATCAAAGCGAACGAAAACGTAAGCGTTTCAGTGTAATTTTGCGTTCCACTATCTTTTTTCTTTCTTACGCATGCGAACACAAATGTCAAAATCAGTCACTTGTGTGTTTGCTGTCGAATGATAAAAATTAAGGAAAATTGTTTTAACATAAACATTCCTTGATGGAAAATGGAAAGAAAAATGTAAGTAAAAATAATAAATGCAATTTAATCTGTGAACAACAAATATATATTTTTTTATTTTCTCAATTCCAGCACGAAAAAACTACACAGCTGCGGGCACTAGTTGAGTATATGGGGGAGAATCCTAAGTTCGCCAGAGGAGTGTCAATTTTTGGAAGCAGCAGGCAATCCCATGAAGACCACTGGAAGACACAAACCTAGAAAAAATCATTTTTTTATTATTTCAAAAATGTAAAAATACAATCATACTTACTGGTTGTTAGGTACTTCAAATAAATTCGAAGCATCTCTTAAATGCCTCCGTGGCACAATTTGAACCTCCTCCTCATCATCCATAAAAAATAGGGCTACAGAAATATTCATTTTTTTTCTTTTTTAAGAACACAAATAATCTGAACACAATCACTAGAAATTTTATTTTGTTTGTTTATTTACAATTTATTTGTTTACAACTGAACTGTCAGTTGAGACAGAGCCACTGCTGCTTTTTCGCGTTTAAATTAGACATTTGGCGCTTTTTTTTGCCTTATTTCGCGATTAATTCTACCAAAAAATATTTTGCAACACTGAATCACGTAAGGCTATGCGAAAGAAAGAACGAAAGTTAGTGGAACGCATTCTTATGCGAAAGTGAGTGAGTAGCCTTCGTTCGCACAAATTTTCTTTCGAGATCGTGGAACAGGCTGTAAATATATTAAAATAAATCAATAACAAAGTTTATGTAAATATTTATTTACAAAAATGTATTTTATGTTCATTTCTTTTTCCATTAATGAATTTAAGCCGTTTTATGCCGCTGCCAGTTAGGTAGGGCAAGCTAGATCGATAAATATCTATTAAATTATTGCCAACAATAGCATCGTATCGGCGAAATGTTTTACCTTTTTTTGGATGAGCGCGAAGAATAACCATAAACATGCAATATGAAATCACAAAGGTCAATTAATTGTACAAATAGACTAAAATATTACATTTCCTGTAAAGCATTAGGTCCATGCGACTTTTTAATCCTACAAAACAGAAGATAAACCAAAACGCACACATTTTCGCCTCGAATAACAAATAATAAATATACTTAATCTTTATTCTTAAGACCATATAATAATAGATTTATATCATCATATAACGACATAAATGGACATGAACTGCAAGGTTCCTTAAAATTTGTGGCAAATCCAATGTGAAGCATATTATATGAAATTTCGTATTACTACTTCAACGTCAGGTTTTTACATATTCCAGAAGTATATCCTTTTATTTAAGCAATAACCGACAAAAATTATTTAAACTCACCCTACTGTTGGAAATATGTGAGGGAAAATATCAAGTATGTTCCTTCAACAAAAAATTCCAAAAATTATCAATGCTCTGTACCAGAATTTACAAGCACCTTGTCTATATCATAAAAAAATCTCTTCTGCTTCTGTTCCCTCACCTTTAAATCTCAAAAGCACACATCTATGCCCCGTTCCAGAACCTGCAAGAATCCAAATTTTTTCTTTATAATTGCTCTATTCTAGAACCTGCAAGAGGCCGAGGCTATTTTTTTTTTGCAATTTTTCGATAACATAAAGGGAACGTCGGTTATCATAGTAAAATTTTCTTACATTTCTGAAGTCTTGGAACAGATTAAATATTAAAAAAAAAATAACATAACTAGTAGATTTTTACAGGTTCTGGAACAGAGTATATAAAAGATTTCAGTGTTTCCGTTTCTTAAATGCAAATTTGATTCCGGGTGAAATTGGCTCTCAGATAACTTATCTGAAATCATGGAAGCTGACAACTCAAAATAGTTGGGTGGAAAGACCCATATTAAAGGTATTGGTATTAAGGGAAACGGAATTAGCACAATAGCAATAATTTATCATAAATTTGGTTGACCGCTATAATAGGCCCTTTTTCAACTTTTTGGTTTTTATAAAAAATCCGGGTCCCAAAAATCAATAATTTGACTATAACTTCCAAATTGCTTATTAATAACCCCATGTGACCACTGTTGGATAGGCATTTTCATAAGCTTTAAACTATACATATATTGTCTATATGGGGTAAGTGGATCCGGGTGCAGCCCGGGTCTTTAACCCGAACTTTCGGGTCAAAAATCTGAAGTCTGGGTCCTTCTCCCAATAAAAAAATAGTTTCCCGGGGTAAAAAAACCTACTTCTGGAAAAAAATTCGAAAAAATTGAAAAGTTTTTACTTAACTAGAGTTGTTTCAACCAAAAATAATAAATTTTGTATTGAAAATGCCACAAAATATGTATACAAATTTTTCCAAATAAATGATTTAAAATCCATTGTCATCTGAACATGCATAACAGTAAGCTTCGTTGTTACAATGTCAATGAGAACATGACACTAATCGATTGTGTTGTACTTTCAATCGATGTTGACGTCCGAAAGAAGAAAATATCGATATCATTGATACTATCATCATTTATTTGTCAGCACTAATACAACTCTAACTAGGCAAAAACGATGAAGATTTAACAAAATACCAGCGAATATAGCGAAAAAAACGAATTAAATTAAGCACAATTTATTTGAATTGCATAGAAACGAAACATAAAACGAACGGATAATAAACGAAAAACGGCACTACAAAGGAAAAAAGTAAAGTAGAAAAAAAAACTTCCAATCTTGTTCGATTTTGTCATACATACACATCTTTCTCGGTTTTGTCGTTCTCGTCTCGCAGTGAATGAATGATTGTGCGTGCATGTGTGTGTGTGTGTGTAATATGAAGGTGTCAAAAAATTGTATTGTTGAAAATACAGCGGAGAAAAATACAAAACAAATTAAATGTTTAAACAAATACAAATCATTTGATGCGATCGAAAATTAAGTGTATAATTTTGTGCCAGAAAAAAAGAAATACCAAGAATTGGCAAGTGATTTATTAAAAGAATGAAGGAGAAAAACGAGTAACACCACACAAATCGCAATGGGAAAAAAACCACCCCACCCCGCAAGCAAGAAAAGAAAAATGCAAACCAATTCAAGCCAATCTATGAATTCATAAATTATCGACGAGAGACTCGTATTTCAAAGAATTGTTGTTGTTTTGTTTTCATGTTTTCATTATTCTTGTTATTGTTTTTTCTGTTTCTTTTTGCAGAAAAAGACAAATTTTTACGGTTGTAGCGTAAATATAGGACAAAAGGCGAGGATCTACGGCTAGAATTCTATAACCTTATTTTCATTGGGGGGTTATTTTGTGTTCCCCTTTATTGGGGTTAATCATGGTGGTGGCTAAGTAATTGTCTTCAAATGTGTCTGCCGATGACATTTCGAAGATTTAATTGTTATCTAAAACTAAACTTAAAATTTAATTTTATTGTTCCTTTTACAACCATTTGCAATACATACTGACTCCTTCCTTACGTGTTCTAACAAGACCCACCATGCCATTGCAAACTTTTGTCCATCCAATTCGATTGGAAAAGTAAATTTCATTTGTTTTTCTTGGTTGTTCATGACTGCGCTGGATGTTTTTTGTTTCATTTCTGGCTCAAGGGAGGGCAGGCAGTCAGTCGGTCGGTCGGCCGATGGGGTTGTTGCCTGCACATGTTTGTGCTTGCTTGTTTTGTCAGCCTGCCTGCATCTATCTGTTTGAGTGAGTGCATGCATTTGTGGCTACGTGCTCGACTGAATGCTGCTTCAGTTTCAGGTTGATTATATTGTTGTTGTTATTATTGTTTACAAAAAAAAGAAACATTTTACATATCCCCACCATATTTTCAATGTTTATTGTTTTGTTAAGGAAATGGATTTGAAAACGGTTTAATTATTCTTCGTTTTTGTTAGATCCAATTGGAATCCTGATCGAAAATAAAAATAATTTACAGATATTCTAATTCGTAGTTTAGGGTTGAAAAAGGTTGACATTTTGAAATTTGGTATGGAAACTTTTCAAATCTAATCATATGTTGTATGGAAATTGCCCTTAACAAACTTGAGTGTAGTAAAGTTGTCGATAAATGGGCGATAACAATTTTTTTTTCTGTAAAGAAAACTTGTAAAATAATTATACCAGCCATTTTTCACAAAGGAAATTCCTTTCGATACAAATTAGTTTATTCAGAAAAGTTTTGGATAATAAATTATTCGTCCGTTCTTGAACTGCAAGAATATAAAACATTTTTCTACGTTAACCGATTTTCCCTTTATGACATCGAAAAAAATTGCAAAAGTGGTAGATTCTTGGAGGTTCAGAGGCATATGTATATGGAAAATCTTTGCCAACAACAAGTTTTATAGTTATACCCTAAATTCACTTCATTTGAGCTGATATTAGTCATTATTTGCACAATAAACCTGAATCCAGATAAGGGATATATATGGGAGCCATATCCAAATCTTAGCCGATCTCGATTAAATTTGACAAAGGTATTTCCGAGCTATATAAAATAGCTGGTACCAAGTATCATTGCTGTCGAATGTATATTAGGAACATGAGAGACAGATATTTGGCATTTTGTGCACAATTAAACCGAAACCGGCTGAAGATATAAATAGGAACTACATCCAAATTTGAACCGATTTTGATAAAATTTGGCAGAGATATTTCCGGCCTGTATATGATATCTGGTACCAAATATCATTGTTGTCGATTGCATATTACGAATGTGAGGGACTTAAACACCAAATCGGACGATACATATAAATGGGAGCTATAGCTATATCTGAACCGATTTTTACCAAATTTTTTATACTCGCTTCTAGACTGAATTCGGTCGGGTGTGCAAAAATTCATGACACTTCGACAGATAAGTTGTGTTCCAGAACCTAAAAGTTAGTACTAATTAGTGCTAATTCTACTACAACGCGTTCCCGTACTCCAAAAACTAGCAAAACTTGCAGCTCTCTCGAGAAAAAAATGGCGCTGAGTGGTGCACATTTCTGCTTGTTTTAGCTACATGAATTTGGCCGAGCAGAAATGTGCAAATTGTAAATTTGACATTTAATTGGCAGGGCTAACAAGGTTGAAAAATGTATTAATACATTTCAATGTTCGCGCGTAACAACAAATGTAAAGAAAAAAAATTAACTTAAAAATAAAGAATAACTAATATTTGTCGTGCAAAAAACAAAAAGAGAAAATATGGAGCAACTGATGTATTCCAGCAGTGAAGAGGACTGGCTGAATGAGGAATCAGACGAAGAAAACGTATTGGAAAACAGTGCAAAATTAGTAAAAGTTAAATTGAAAAATTAAGCTTAGAATCGAAGACGTTTGTTTATTACTGCGAACATTTTCTTTTTATTTCTTAGGTTGGCTGTCTTCCTAACTTGTGGCATTAAGTCTTCTTGCAGACTTAACATTAATTTAACAGGCGCCTCCAACCATGTCAGCTTCTCCGGGTTGGGATTTGGGAAAACTCCACCTCTAAATACTCTTCAACGTATTCTGAAAACAAAACTTTCTAAATAAACACCATTCCAAAATAATTATTAATTTTAACTTATTTTCAATACTCATTTTTTAAATTTTGGCGTCCATTTCAGTAAGGTTTCACCAGTCCGATTTAGACTGTTTTCTTTTGGAATTTTGAATGTTGACATTTTGCGCATTTCTGCTAATTTTCCGTTTCCTTATTTTTTGAGCACACCTAAATGAGAATGGCATTTAGTACTGTTCTCTCTTCTGCTAGTTTTACTACTAAAAAAGTACTGGAACACAACTATATTTGGCATTTTGTGCACAATTAACCCGAAACCGGCTGGGAGCTACACCCAAATCTGAACCGATCTTGACAAAATTTGGCAGAGATATTTCCAAGCTGTATCTGATATCTGGTACCAAATATCATTGTTGTCGATTGCATATTACGAATTTGAGGGACTTAAACACCAAATAGGACGAAACATTTGATGTACTTGCTTCTAGAGTGGATTCAGTCGGATATGACAAAATTCAGGTCATTTGGACTTTTATTGGCCGAACTCGGTTCAAGATTTATGAACTATATCTAAATCTAAATCCGATTCTCACCAATTGCAATAGGGTTTGCTCTTGGGCCAAATAAATATTGTTTGGAAAATTTCATCTCAATTGGATAATAAATGCGACCTGTATTTTGTTCACAAGAATACATCAACAGATGGACGGACGAACTGACATGCATACATCGATTCAGAAAGTGTTTCTATGAAAATCCTCAAAAGTAACTATGGATCTGTCTATTACGCGATGTTCGGTATTTTAATGATTTTTGAAACATTTTTCTACGGATTTGTCTAAAACATGGTATTTGTTGTTTGTAATGGGTTCCAGCTTCGGAAACAGATCATTGGTTATACAGGTCCACGTTTTCGTTTAGCCCCAAAAAAACGGTATCTCCCGACATTCGGTATATTGATGATTTTTGCTCGTTATTGGTAGCATAGCCCGACGTCAAGGAAGTGGACGGAAGAAAACAGCAACATCAGCAGAAATGGTTCGAAAAGTAAAGAAGCGACTTGATCGAAACCTGCGTCGCAGTGGTCGAAAAATGGCTCGTGAGCTGAACATATCGCAATATTCCATTCGGCAAATATTGAAAAATGAGCTCGGGGTAGAGCCATTGAAATTCGAAAAAGTGCAAGAACTTACACCACACCGCACAAGAAAGAAAAAGCTAAAGACTCGAATGAGCTAGAGAGTTGCTTCGCTTGGCCGAAAGTGGTGAACTGCCGAACTTTGTTTCCTCCGATGAGAAAACATTTGTTGTCCAGCAGTTTGTAAACAAACAAAGTGATCGTGCTTACTTGCCAAAGAGGTTAGCTGAAAATGTGCACCTTCGGTTGGCCACCAGAACTCAAGTGCCGACCATGGTGAGAGTGTGGGCAGCCATAACAGCCGGTGGTCGCTCTCCGCTCGTATTAATCGATTGTGGCGTCAGAATAAATGCCGAATATAATCGCGAAAATATTCTGGAGGGTGTATAAAATCCTTGGCCACTAAAACATTTGGGCCGCAGACCTTGGGCATTCCAACAGAACCCAACACCATCGTACTCAGCACGCGCCACCCAAGAATGATTACAAAATGAGGTTCCTCGCTTCATTTCCAGCGCACAATAGCCACCAAAATCTCCGGATACCAATCCGTTGGACTATTGTGTCTGGAGTATTTTGGATAGCAAGGTTGGCACTAAAAAATACCAAAGTGTCGATCACTTCATGCAAGCGCTTCGCCGGGAATGGGCCAAAATACCGCAGAGTAAGATTGGGGCAGCGTGTGACGTTTTCTTTGCCCTTTTGAAGGCCATAATTCGTGACAAAGTTCACCAATTCGAACAAATCCAAACTTATTCTAAAATTTGATGGTATTTCCGACAATTTTTGCTTTCTATCAAAAAAATTAAAAAAAATGTAAAAATTATGGCGCTTGACTTTGTTGCAGTTTTTTATCTCACCCTGTAGAACATTGGCCGATAATAAACTTTCTGTGCAGAAAAGTTGTCGATAATAAAAAACATTTTTTGAAAAAACTTTCCATTGCAAAATTTCTGTGTGGATGAATTGTCGATATTAGATTTTTTCTATAGGAATTGCTTTGTTCCCGATCGTAGGGGTTTTTTTTAAAGAGGAGACTTGCAAATAATTAAAAAAGTTACCGGTAACAATATTTCCGGACAGAAAATGCGAACAAAAAATCAATTTTCTTGCGATAATACCAAAATTTCGTATTTCTTTTTTAATTCTATTAACCTCACTTTTATTTAAACCAATGCTAATTCCGTTTTTATTATTTCTATTATAGCTATTTATTGCTAATCATTACAACAAGAAAACCAACAAGAAAAAAAGTCTCAAGCATTAGAACATCACCATACGGCGGATAAACCACACGAGCACAATAAAATAAGAAACAAACGCTGCAAATAACCAATAGTATTAGCCACACATTGAATACTCTGAAAGCAAAGGCGTCAAAAAAGCAAACGGGCCGGTGGCTACACAAAAATACATACACGACGATTCATCTAAAATACGCATGGCTGGCTTATAAAAGTGTCAACAACTTTAATTTGCCAACAACAGCAGGAGAATAACAACACGAACACAGCATAAACAAAAGAAACAGCAACAACAACAATAGCAAAGAGCTCTTCAACAAATATAAAACAAATTACCATCAAGTGTTAAAGTAACGACGGCAAGAGCCTCACTGAAGAGCAGAACAAAACTTGCATTAAACTCTTCCCAAGCTATAACAATAACAAAAGAAGCAAACCTCAAGAGCACAAAACAGAAGAGCAGCGCAAGCAAAACAGAAAACAATAAGTTCAGAAGACGATATTCAGACAATATTATTTGTTGTTTGTTTTAATCTCCAATGCCTTGGGCTCCATTGCTTTGCTAAATGATCCTTGCAGAAGGCATTCCCATATTATTTTCATAGTAGGCTTTTTTGCTTTAAAATTTCATGCCTGCACGTCATTATAACGCCACACAAATGATCGCAATTAGCGAAGAACAACACACCGACAACAATGGCTCAACAACACCAAGTAGTAACACCACGGCCACCACCAACAACGCCTACAACACCAACACAAACACCAGCACAAGCAATGCCATCAAACACACAGTGGTATCGACGACAGCAAATGGCCATAAGACAACAACAACATCATCATCACAACAACAACAACACAACAAAATAAAACCCTATAGCGACTACAATCAGCCAGAAACAACAAATGGCAATGGTGCCACAACAACACAATCCTCAAATACCCAAATTGATTCGGCCATTGTTACCAGTGCCCAACAAAGTGCCAGCGATTTAGTACCCGAAGGTAGTCTCTGGACGGCCCTGTACGACTATGAAGCCCAAGGAGAGGATGAACTGAGCCTGGAAAGGGGCCAGGTGGTATTGGTGTTGTCCATGGATCCCAAAGTGTCCGGGGATGAGGGTTGGTGGATTGGCAAAATCGGTGATAAGGTATGAAAACTAAATTAAATTATAAAATTAATATCCCTAACATATTCCCTCTTTCCAAAGGTGGGCATTTTCCCCAGCAACTTTGTAACAAATCACGATCCCATGATGATAAATGTGCCTTCAGCCATTGGTGATATCCAGCCCCATGAAATAGAATACGAAGAGTTGGACGTAGAAGAAGTAATTGGTGTGGGCGGTTTTTGTAAGGTACATCGTGGCTATTATCGCAATGAAGAGGTGGCCATTAAAGCGGCCCGACAAACAGCTGACGAAGATATGCAATCGATGCGTGACAGTGTTCTTCAGGAGGCCAAACTCTTTTGGGCATTAAAACATGAAAACATTGTAGCCCTAAGAGGGGTGTGTCTGAAGCCGCCCAAACTATGTCTGGTCATGGAATATGCCCGGGGTGGCAGTTTAAATCGTGTTTTGGCTGGGCGTAAAATACCGCCCGATGTCCTTGTCAATTGGGCCATACAAATTGCCCGCGGCATGAATTATTTACACAATGAAGCTCCCATATCTGTCATACACCGCGATTTGAAAAGTTCTAATGGTAAATTTACAGTTGCATTTCCAATTTTTATAAATAAATAACGCCTGGTTTTCTCTACTCTTTTCAGTTTTAATATTTGAGGCAATCGAAGGAGATAATCTACATAAGAAGACTTTGAAAATCACCGACTTTGGCTTGGCCAGAGAGCTGTATAATACAACGCGTATGTCGGCAGCTGGTACCTATGCCTGGATGCCGCCAGAAGTTATAAGTCGGGGCACTTACTCCAAGTATGTATGGAATAAAAACAAGGAGGGTTTTTACGACAACAAACACCTGTCGATAACACCTTTTTTTCGAAGAAAGTTGTCGATAACAACCTTTTTCCGAAGAAAGTTGTCGATAACAACGTTTCTCCACAGAAAAGTTGTCGATAACAACTTTTCTCTGCAGAAAAATAGTCGATAACAACTTTCCTCTGCAGAAAAGTTGTCGATAACAACTTTTCTCCATAGAAAAGTTGTCGATAACAACTTTTCTCCGCAGATAAGTAGTCGATAACGACTTTTCTCCACAGAAAAGTAGTCGATAACGACTTTTCTCCACAGAAAAGTAGTCGATAACGACTTTTCTTCACAGAAAAGTAGTCGATAACGACTTTTCTCCACAGAAAAGTAGTCGATAACGACTTTTCTCCACAGAAAAGTAGTCGATAACGACTTTTCTCCACAGAAAAGTAGTCGATAACGACTTTTCTCCACAGAAAAGTAGTCGATAACGACTTTTCTCCACAGAAAAGTAGTCGATAACGACTTTTCTCCACAGAAAAGTAGTCGATAACGACTTTTCTCCACAGAAAAGTAGCCGATAACGACTTTTCTCCACAGAAAAGTAGTCGATAACATCTTTTCTCTACAGAAAAGTTGCCGATAACAACTTTTCTCAACAGAAAGTTGTCGATAACATATTTTCTCTACAGAAAAGTTGCCGATAACAACTTTTCTCGGCAGAAAAGTACTCGATAACAACTTTTCTCCATAGAAAAGTTGTCGATAACAACTTTTCTCCGCAGATAAGTAGTCGATAACATATTTTCTCTACAGAAAAGTTGCCGATAACAACTTTTCTCGGCAGAAAAGTACTCGATAACAACTTTTCTCCATAGAAAAGTTGTCGATAACAACTTTTCTCCGCAGATAAGTAGTCGATAACGACTTTTCTCCACAGAAAAGTAGTCGATAACGACTTTTCTCCACAGAAAAGTAGTCGATAACGACTTTTCTTCACAGAAAAGTAGTCGATAACGACTTTTCTCCACAGAAAAGTAGTCGATAACGACTTTTCTCCACAGAAAAGTAGTCGATAACGACTTTTCTCCACAGAAAAGTAGTCGATAACGACTTTTCTCCACAGAAAAGTAGTCGATAACGACTTTTCTCCACAGAAAAGTAGTCGATAACGACTTTTCTCGGCAGAAAAGTACTCGATAACAACTTTTCTCCACAGAAAAGTAGTCGATAACGACTTTTCTCCACAGAAAAGTAGTCGATAACTACTTTTCTCCACAGAAAAGTAGCCGATAACGACTTTTCTCCACAGAAAAGTAGTCGATAACGACTTTTCTCCACAGAAAAGTAGTCGATAACGACTTTTCTCCACAGAAAAGTTGTCGATAACAACTTTTCTCCACAGAAAAGTTGTTGATAACAACTTTTCTCCATAGAAAAGTTGTCGATAATAACTTTTCTCCATAGAAAAGTTGTCGATAACAAAATTTACCATATTTTATTATCTCAAATATTTATTTCAAATATTAAAGGTCTTCGGATGTTTGGAGTTATGGTGTCTTGCTATGGGAACTGATAACTGGTGAGACCCCCTACAAAGGTTTTGATTCATTGTCTGTGGCCTATGGTGTTGCTGTTAATACCTTAACATTGCCCATACCAAAAACATGTCCTGAAGCCTGGGGAAAACTCATGAAAAGTAAGTAGCCTGTTGTCACAATATTGAGACTTTTTTCTAATTTGCCGAACTACATTCATTTCAGGCTGTTGGGAGGGAGATCCTCATAATCGCCCAGGTTTTAAGGATATTCTCATGAAATTAGAGGACATTGCTCGCTCTGGTTTTACTTCTACCCCGCAAGAATCTTTCCACACCATGCAGGATGGTTGGAAAAAGGAAATTGCAGAAGTTCTACATGAATTGCGATTAAAAGAGAAAGTGAGTTTGGTTTTTTCTTCTTGATTCAATATTTTGTGGTTTTCTCAAAGTTATTGATATGTAATAGTATACCATACCCTTTCTTTTCAAAAAAAATGTAGTTTTGAATGTCAATTCATTTATGTTTTATATCTTATGCTTTCCTTTTCTTCTCCTATTCCTCGTTGCTAACCATATCCATTGTGGTAATTGTCCATTAATACAAACAATCATGTTATTGGAAAAAAAACAATAATGTATATAAATTTTAAAACAAAATTCGAATCCATTTTGTGGCATACTATAGCGCTTTCAAAATATTGAAGAGGTAAGATAGTGACCCAAACATCCATTATTTTGAGTTTCGTTTGTAAACAAGTTGTGGTTTTTAGCTTCTTTTTTGTTGAGTTTTGAGAAATATATTCTTTTTTTTAAATTAGTTTGAGTTGTATTAAAGTGTTTGTCAAAAATATAACCTAAGAAATGTTTTCCATACTCTTTCCTGATAATGCATTTGCCTTTGTTATTATATACTGCCTTTTTATGTGTATTTTTAGTTGCTGTCTTATATTGAATTCGTATTTACCAAACCATAATAAACATAACCTCACACCTCTTCTTTCTATAACTTGCAGGAATTGCGCAATAAAGAGGAACAACTTCGCCAAATACAAATGCAACAACACGAACAGGCAAATAATTTGAAAATATTCGAACAACAATTACGTGCCCGTGAGCTGGAACTAATGGGACGTGAATTGATAATATTGCAGACAATACCGAAACCAAATAAACGACGAAATAAAATTAAATTTAAACCGAAGAAAGATCCTGTACAAATATCTCTGCCGACTGGTTTTCAACATAAGATAACAACGATACGGGATCAAACTTGTGGTGTACCAACACCACCGGGTTCACCGGCCATATCGGGTCTACGAATAGTGGCACGTAAGTAAATCTTAACTTTGCTGTAGTGTTTCGAAATGATATGATATAATAGGTCTAGCATTGGGCTATTAAAGACAGCTTTAAACGTGAATATCTGGGAAACATTTATGGTATTACAGTCAGACCTAAGAATTTTTTTTTATCGAGGAGTCGAGGAAAACCTAGCTTTTATACAACAGACGTTCATAACGACCTATTTTTGTCAGAGAAAACTTGTTGATAGCAACTTTTCCATACAGAAAAATTGTCGGTAAGACCTCTCCGTTCAGAAAAGTTGTCGATAAAAACCTTTCCATTTAGAAAAGTTGTCGATAACAAATTTTCGATAAAGATAAATTGTCGGTAAGAACTTTCCCTTTAAGAAAAACTGTCGATAAGAACCATTCCGTGCAGAAAAAGTGTCGGTAAAAACCTTTCCATTTAGAAAAGTTGTCGATAACAACCATTCTGTTCAGAAAAGTTGTCGATAAGAACCTTTTCGTGAAGAAAACTTGTCGATAACAACCTTAACGTGAAGAAAAGTTGTCAATAACATCGTTTCCGTTCAGAAAAGTTGTCGATAACATCGTTTCCGTTCAGAAAAGTTGTCGATAACAACCATTCCTTTCAGAAAAGTTGTCGATAACAAGCTTTCCGATCAGAAAAGTTGTCGATAACAGCCTTTCCTTTCAGAAAAGTTTTTGATAACAACTTTTCCGTTCAGAAAAGTTGTCGATAACGACCTTTCCATTCAGAAAAGTTGTCGATAACAAGTTTTCCGTTTAGAAAAATTATCGATAACAACTTTTCCATATAGAAAAATTGTCAATAAGACACTTTCCATTCAGAAAAATTGTCGATAAGAATCTTTACGTGCAGAAAAGGTGTCGATAACAACTTTTCCATTTAAAAAAGTTGTCGATAACAGCCTTCTAGATAAGAAAAATTGTCGATAACAGCCTTTCCGTTCAGAGAAGTTGTCGATAACAACCTTTCCGATCAGAAAAGTTGTCGATAAAAACCTTTCCGATCAGAAAAGTTGTCGATAACAACCTTTCCGTTCAGAAAAGTTGTAGATAACAAACTTTCCGTTCAGAAAAGTTGTCGATAATAACCTTTCCGTTCAGAAAAGTTGGGATAACAAACTTTCCGTTCAGAAAAGTTGTCGATAAGACCCTTTCCGTTTAGAAAAGTTGTCGATAACAACTTTTCCATTCAGAAATGTTGTCAATAACAACCTTTTTCATTCAGAAAAGTTTTCGATATAAACCTTTCCGTTTAGAAAAGTTGTAGATAACAAACTTTCCGTTCAGAAAAGTTGTCGATAAGACCCTTTTCGTTTAGAAAAGTTGTCGATAACAGCCTTTCCGTTCAGAAAAGTTGTCGATAACAACCTTTCCATTTGAAAAAGTTGTTATAGCAACCTTTTCGTTCAGAAAAGACGTCGATAACAACCTTTCCGTTGAGAAAAGTTGTCGATAACAAATTTTCCATACAGAAAAATTGTCAATAAGAACCTTTCCGTTCAAAAAAGTTGTCGATAACAAACCTTTCTGTTCAGAAAAGTTGTAGATAACAAACTTTCCGTTCAGAAAAGTTGTCGATAATAACCTTTCCGTTCAGAAAAGTTGCGATAACAAACTTTCCGTTTAGAAAAGTTGTCGATAACAATCTTTCATTCAGAGAAGTTAGCGATAACAGCTTTTCCGTTCAGAAAAGTTGTCGATAACAACCTTTCCGTTGAGAAAAGTTGTCGATAACAACTTTTCCATACAGAAAAATTGTCAACAAGAACCTTTCCGTTCAGAAAAGTTGCCGATAAAAACCTTTCCGTTTAGAAAAGTTGTCTATAACAACCTTTCCATTCAGAAATGTTGTTGATAACAACCTTTCTGTGAAGAAAAGTTGTCGATAACAAACTTTCCGTTCTGAAAAGTTGTCGATAACAACCTTTCCGTTCCGAAACGTTGTCGATAGTAACCTTTCCGTCTAGAAAAGTTGTCGATAACAATCTTTCCGTTCCGAAACGTTGTCGATAACAATCTTTCTGTTCAGAAAAGTTGTCGATAACAGCCTTTCCGTTCAGAAAAGTTGTCGATAACAACCTTACCGTGAAGAATTATTGTCGATAACAACTTTTCCGTTTAGAAATGTTGTCTATAACAAATTTTCTACATCAAAAAGTGGTCGATAACAACTTTTCCTTTCGATAACAGTTTGATATCTGGATTTTATTTTAAAATTTTGCCGATAGTATATGATTATGATTTCATAGAAACTTTGTCCGTCCTTAAGTTTTCTTTTTTTTTAAATAGTGAGTTGTATATCTGTATTTTGTATCTGGTTTTCTCCTTTTTCGTTTGTTGAAATTTGAAAATTAGTTGTAATTGTAATTTTTAAATAATTTTGGTTTAAACATATTTATCGATTTTGTGTTAACTTTTTGTTTTATTTCATTTTTTAATTACATTTATTTTTTATTTATTTATTCTTTTTTCTTTTTTGCTTTTCCCCCTCCCATCTTTTGTTTTTCCTTGATTCCCGTAGTGAGTCCTGATGGTTTCAAGGGTAAAACCTGGGGCCCATCCACTGTCCACCAACGCGAAAGAAGTCATTTGAGTACCACTCTGCAGGCAACAGAGTGGCAGGCAAATGTCAATAGTCACTCTTCGATAAGCAAGAGTGCACCGAATCTTGATAAGAAAACCCAACGACAGCAACGTGAATTGGCAGCGGCGGCAGCTGCTTTGGTGGCCTCTTCGACGCCATCATCACCCACAAATGGCTTTCCCATAAATGGCAGTGCAGTAACAACAACGCAAGGTATTCTTCTAGCTAATAGCGTTGTTTCATCACCCACAACATCCTCCTGTTGTGCTTCCAACATATCATCGGCCATGGTCTCAACTCCCTCATCTTCTAGCATTCATCCAGCTTTTGTTCAATTAATCAATAATAATAATAACAACAACAACAACAGCAGTCATAATATTAATCTGCATTCTAATAACATAACCACAACAACACCAATTTATCACCTAAATAACTGTAAAGTGGTATCTTCGGGATCCTCGCACTCAAGTTCTAGTACCGTAACTTCATATGCCAAGGATAAAAAGTTGGGTGGTAGTGGAAAAAAATCTTCAAAAAAGAAGCATGTCCTTACCAAATCCCATGACCGGGGTTTAGATTCGTTGAGTGCAAAACCACCCATACCTTTGAGTTTTCCATTGCCATTGAATGATTTTGACTCTGACCTGGAGACACCTACACCAACTGTGGTGGGTTGTTTTAAATTTAGGCGCAACAATTCCCAACTGCCTGCCCCCGACAAAAGTCCCATCAATGATTTTAAACAATCGGCAAGTCTGGGCAATAGCCCTGCAATTGGTAGGAAAAAATTATCTTTGGACAGTCGACTCTCGCCGTTGGCCCGTAGACAGCAATTGTCGTATATTTCTCCGGACATCTCACCATTGGTTGGTGAAAATCCCCTGTTGAAGTCATGTTCCCAACAGGGATCCACGCTGCTGCTCAATAGCCGGCCCGATAATCCAACCTATGACAGACTGTTCTATCGTTCGGTGCAAAAGTCCTTGGACGAAATATTTTCCAATAATCAGTCGAGGCAGGGCGACTCATCGGCCAACAGTAGTTTTCATAGTGCCAGTTTTTGGCAAAAACCCGAACCTGTGAGTTCCAAGTCCAGTGTAAATTTAACCATGTATTCATCCACCTCGCAATTGGCAGAAGATTTCTCAGCCGATGAAGATGGGCAGGGAGATTTGAGTGGCGATTCATCGCCTTATTATAGATTTCAAAGAAATGGTTCGGGGTCACAATTTCCTAGGCATTGTTTTTTCCGTCAGCCACCCTCAGTGGGCGGTGGTCATGAGGGGGCTGGCACGGGGAACCAGGTGTATCGCAGTAAGGCTGAGCAACCAGTGAATGCTTCCTTTGGCTCATATCAATCATCTGAGGATCGTTTCAATTCCACAAATTCCATAGAATCTTCTTCCACAAATTCCCAGCAAACCTCACGAAAATCCTCGGTGGTGACATTTCATCTCAGCAACAACAACAACAACAGCAATCATAGCCATTCAAATAACAGTTCCCACAACAATTCTTCACAAATGAGTTCCTTTGATGAGGGTGGTGGCGTTGGGGATTTAAACTCCTCTGCCAGCCATTCATTTAGTTTTGCCACCTACTGTTCCGAACCCGAAAACAACTCGGCGACGCTGCATGTCAACAATGATCAGTTTTCAACATTGTTTATCAATGACAATTCCATATTTGCCACCCGCAAGCTACAAGACGTCCAACCCGATCCGGAGGTTATCAAAATGAAGGAACAACTGCTACGGGAACAGGCTAAGCAGCAGCTGAAACAAGCCAAAGAGAACTTGAAGAAATCGAAAGCGAAGAAACAGCGTTCCACATCATCAACGTCCCACTACATAAGGGGCGAGGGTGAGGTCGGCGCTGACACTTTGCAACAAAATCATTCCTCATCTTCCACGAGTTCGGCCAAATTGAAAACATTTATGAGTTTTTTCAATTTCGGCTCTTTGGGCCATTCCAAAAAGAAATATAAGAAATCGAAAAGTTCGTATAAGTTATTTGAAAATAGCCAGGAAAGAGATTCTCTGAGATATCCCACAACAATACCGCCCCAGAGAACCAAGTCATGTGATCAATTGGAATCTGTGTAGGGGGGTAGTGGAAGGTAATTGAAACATGCCATAGATGAAATGGGGGGTTGAATAAACATTTTTCTGCTGGAAAATTTATCAAGCATAAGTGGAGATGTGCGAGAAGACATAACCACCACCTATCACCTGACTTGCGAAACATAATTCGCAATGAAAAAGAATTTTTATTAACAACAAAAAGTTCACTGAAAATTCTATTTCTTTTTTTATTTTTTAAGAATACTTTTTTGGTATTCCAAAAAGAAAAATCAATTATTTATATTAATTTTTAAAGATAGATAATATAACCCCATAATAATTTAGGTAAGGGTCTAGCCATAGTTTCCTCTTTTTTTATACATACCTTTATGTGTAATTAAACATATACATACATGCATGTATATAAAAATGATATTCAGTTTAGTTTTTTGTTGTACCTTTAAAGAAAAACAAAATACTAGCTATTCAGACATTGCAACAGATAAGCCGTCATTTAAGCCATTTTTTTTTAAAGAAGAAGAACTACTTTTTATAGACCATATTTTTTTTTTTGTTTTTGTATAACAAAACGAGAACCACGTGCCTTTTTGAATACCACGCATATTCAATATAATCCAATTTTGCATTTAGTTTTTTAAGCTATACATATATTTTTAATTAACTAGTAATTTTATTTATGTATGTATTTGTTTGCATTTTAATTACAACTAAAACAAATTTGTAATTTTGTATTTTTTTTTCTTTTTTGAAATTATTTAATTTTTAAGTTTCTTTAATTTTGTAACACAGAAAAATAATTGTATTTGAATTTGAAGAATTTCACAAACACATATTAAAGGTTAGGGAATGTTTGGCCCCATGAAAGGAGAGGATGTTTGGCCCTTTGAAAGCATTTTATTATACCCTCAGCTACAGAGGGTATATATCATTTCATACGGTCACAACGTGCCTAGTTGAAATAACGGTTTTAGACACTAGGTCTCTTTGGACCAAATCCGTTTCAGAACATTTGTCTGACTGTCTGACTTGCTGGTTCGCACTATAACTCTCGGAGGGAGAATTCGAATTGGTCCCAACATGGTACAACGTAATATTTTTGTTAAACTTAGATCGAGTTCGGAGATGGGCAATATCGGTCTATTCTTCTTGTACCTCCTTCACAAAAGGTTGAAATTTTCAAAAATATATATTTTTTGCACAGAAAGAGAGACGCTAATCCGATTTTGCTCCAACTTTGCAAATTCTAATATTTTCGTCAGTGCTAGGTCAGGTGTGAAAATTGACAATATAGGTCCATTCCTTCTGGTACCTCCCCCACAAAAGGTTGAAATTTTCAAAAAATATATTTTTTGCACAGAAAGGGAAACAATTATCCGATATTGATCCAAATTTGCAAATGCCGAATATTTGCGTCGATGCTAGGTCAGGTGTGAAAATGGACAATATCGGTCCACTCCTTCTGGTACCTCCCCCCACAAAGGGTCAATATGTTTAATAATTACAACTCTTTTAAAATGTTAGCAATAGTCCGATTATCTTCAAAATTCACACATCCGAATATTTTTAATAACCCAAGGACAAAAGACCGACATTTTCAAAAATATATATTTTCTGCACAGAAAGAGAAACGTTAATCCGTTTTTCATCCAACTTTGCAAATCCTTACATTTGCGTCGGTGCTATGTTTGGTACGAAAATGGACAATATTTGTCCATTACTTCTGGTACCTCCCCCACAAAGGGTAAATTTTTTTAATGATTACAACTCTTTTAATATGTTATGTAATAGTCCGATTGTCTTCAAATTTCACACATCCCAATATTTATATTAACCCAAGGTCTGGTGTTAAGATGGAATCTATCGGTCCACTCTTTCTGGTACCTTCCCCACAAAAGGTCGGAATTTTCAAAAAATATATTTTCTGCACAGAAAGAGAAACGATTATCCGATTTTGTTCCAACTTTGCAAATCCTAATATTTGCGTCGATGTTATGTCAAGTGTGAAAATGGACAATATTGGTCCACTCCATCATGTACCTCCCCCACAAACGCTCAAAATTTTGAATAATTACAACTATTATAACATGTGATGTAAGAGACCGATTGTCTTAAAATTTCATACATCCGAATGTTTTTAGTAACCCAAGGTCTGGTGTTAAGATGGAATATATCGGTCCACTCTTTCTGGTACCTTCCCCACAAAAGGTCAGAATTTTCAAAAAATATATTTTTTGCACAGGAAGTGAAACGCTAATCCGATTTTGCTTCAACTTTGCAAATTCTGATATTTGCGTCTTTGTTAGGTCTGGTACGAAAATGGACAATATCGGTCTAGTACTTCTGAAACCTCCCCCACAAACCCTCAAAATTTTGAATAATTACAACTCTTATAACATGTGATGTAAGAGTCCAATTGTCTTCAAATTTCACACATCCGAATATTTTTAATAACCCAAGGTTTGGTGTGAAGATGGAATATATCGTTTCACTCCTTCTTGTACCTCCCCCACAAAAGGTCGACATTTTCAAAAATATATATTTTTTGCACAGAAAGAGACACTAATCCGACTTTGCTCCAACTGTGCAAATCCTAATATTTGCGTCGGTGCTAGGTCTGGTACGAAAATGGAAAATATCGGTCCACACCATCAAGTAACTACCCCACAAAAGGTCAACATTTTGAATAATTACAACTCTTATAAAATGTGATTCAAGAGACCGATTGTCCTCAAATTTCACACATCCCAATATTTATATTAACCCAAGGTCTGGTGTAAAGATGGAATATATCGTTCCACTCCTTCTGGTACCTCCCCCTCAAAAGGTCGAAATTTTTAACTTTTTCTAAAAATTATCACATCTCAAGGTGAAGAAAGTAACCAAAGTAGTCCAATTCTAGCACGTCGCAATATTATATCATACGATACGAAATTGACAATATTGGCTCATTTCTTCGGAACCTACTCCTACTAAAAATTTGAATAATCATAACAGAAATCAATATATATTTAAATAACCGAACCGTTGGCTGAGTCGGCAAAACCGACTGAAAATTGTTAACTTAACATATATATTGTTTCAAATTAAAATATATGGCCCCTTCGCCACTTCGATAAAGAAGTCATGAATTGTGATAAGCACGCTGAGGAGTTAGAAAACTGAAAGATATTTGAAAAGTGAAATCTGTTTTCGGAAAGTATTTGAAAAGTGTTTTTTATACAACCCCACCTTCGAAAGGTGGAAACTTTGTCATTTCTAAATTCCTTTACCATTAAGTCTAGGGCTGTTTTGAACTACAGGAAAGCCTTGGAAAACACTGGGTTGTCCATCATGCTCTGTTGGGTTCCTGGTCATTATAACATCCCAGGTAACGAGACTGCAGACGAATTGGCCAGGCTAGGATCCGAATCAACTACAATTGAAGTAGATAAGTCGGTTAAACCACTACTGTGCCACTTCATACAGACATTACTCCGAGAGAATCCAACAAAAATGGCTGGACGAATTGGATTGCACCACTTCCAAAAGAATCTGGCCCACACTCTCAGAGAAGAGAACAAAGTCGCTACTGTCATTGTCGAATCCTGATCTAAAGCTTGTGGTGGGTATCATCACAGGTCACTGTAAGGTGAGGGCAATGACCTCGAAATGGGACAGCGAAGACATTGACTACTGTAGGATCTGTCAAGATGAAGAAGAAATCGAGGCAGTCAAACACACGACACGGCAAATTCCGCAGCCGTAGATTACACTCATAACTCTATCTCCTATCTTCTATCAACCACTCCTTCCGTTTTTCTTACTATTCTTCTAGGATGCACACAATGGACCTCTAGGTCTCCGAGTGGAGCGGTTGCCATATCATAACTGCGCGTCCTTTAACCTAGCTTAACCTAACCTTGTCATTCCGTTTATAATGTCGCTAAATATATAAATATAAATAGACCAGCATAAAATTCTATGTCGATTTAACGTTGTCCGTCTGTCTGTTGAAATCACGATACAGCCGGCATTATTTGACGTAGAGCGTCAAAATTTAGCAGAACAATTTGTATTGTGTTTAAGATGGTTGGTATGGAAAATAAGATATATCGGTCTACGTTTTGGAATAGTCGCCACATAAGGATGCTTCCCGATATTCGGTATTTTGATGATTTTGCCCACATTTTTCCATCAATTTGTCTAAAAATTTGTATTTGTAGGCCATAATGGGTTCTAGCTCCGGTGGCGAAACATTGTATGCATATTTCCACGTTTTTGTATGCCCTTCATATAACGCTACCTCCCGATATTCGGTATTTTGACAATTTTTGCCCCATTTTCCCACGGATTTGTCTTAAAATTGGCATTTGTAGGCCATAATGGGTTCTAGCTGCAGTGATGAAACATTGTATGTATAGGTCCACGTTTTTGTATGGCTCCCATATAACGGTACCTCACCATATTCGCTGTTTTGATGTTTATTGCCACATTTTTCCACGGATTTGTCTAAAACTTTGTATTTGTAGTTCATAATAGGTTCTAGTTTCGGCGGCAGAGCATTGAAAATTTAGGTCCAAGTTTTCCTATGGCGCACATATAACGATACCCACCGATACTCGGTATTTTGATTATCCTGGTCACATTTAGCCACGGAATTGTTTCAAATTTGAAATTTAAGAAGATTTGGTCATTTGACCATCCTTGAAGTATAAAATTTTCTATGGAGGTTCCTCTTTTAGTATGACCCGCATATAGCGGTCTCCCCCACTTTATGGTTCTTTGAACAGTTTAACAGCATTATCCAAACGGCCCTACTGGTATTTGTACTTTAAAGTGGAATTTAGATACCAATAAAAATATAAAAATGTCTTCTTTGCCCAATGATGGAAGGGTATTAAAAGTTTGGCCCGGCTGAACTTAATGTTTTTTTACTTTTTTTTGTATGAAACGTTTTCTTGGAACATTTTCCAACTCTTCATACAAAAAAAGTACAGAACGTGTTCTTGGGCGCATTTTCTCTCGAAATAGCTTCCAAATTTTCCTATTTAAAGTTCTTTAAATTCAAATATATTTTTTTTTAAATATTTGCTTCAAAATCAAATTTTGTTGGTCAATTTTCAATGATTTTTGTTTTTCATTTTTTTTTTAATTTTATTAATGTTGTATATTTTATTTTATAAATTTCCTTAAAAAAAAATTAAAAATAGTTAATTTTTATTGGTTTATTATTTGATGTAACAAAATTTAAATAAAAACTGTATTATTTTGTTTATTATTATTTTTAAAAAAAATCTCACCATGGCAATTATGAATTTGAAAATTCAACAAAAATCGTATTTTTTTAATTATTATTTTGTTTTGCTTAAAAAATTACTGTGATTAAAAAGAAACTGTTTTAATTTTGTTTTGTATTATTCAAATGTCTCCAAAATTTTGTGTGTATTTTTTTCTTTTTTGTATTTGTTTTTATTATTTCAGAGAACCACAACACAAAGTGACATTTTCTAAACTTGAGTGCTCTTAATGTTTATTTTTGGTAGTTATTTTATTTCCTGTATTTTTTATATACATAAAAACTGCTGATTATTTTATTTTAAATTCTAGTTTTAAGTTTTATTTATTAAGTAACATATTTTATAGTTGTAAAGTAAATTTAGTTTTTTTTAATATATATTCCATAAAACAAAAAATAGCAACGAAAACGAAAATTACGAAAATCATTTGTTACGAAAAAAATTTATAAAAAAAATTACACAAAAAACCCCAACTAAAAAACAAACAAAAATAAAAAAACTCAAAAAATAACAAAAAACAAAAATACAAAATGGTTTTATTTTTTTAACATTTTTCAAACACAAATACCCAAAAAAACAAAGACTTGGTAAAGGCCAAAAACCCACATCCAAAAAAACTTTTTACTTTAATTTAAATAAATTAATAAATCGATTTATGTTTTTCATTCCCATGCTCTCTCGCTCAACATATATTTTTATGGAATTCATCAACACCCCATCATAGGTTCCAATTCCAAAGATGATTGGTGCTCACCCATACACACGCTGCCAGGCGGCGGTCCAAATCTTCCCATAATGTCTCCAAATCCTTATCTCTTAAGTCGTTTCACTTCCAACATACCTATGCCCACATTATATGCCGGCGATGCCATACGCAAACCGAAACTATCCGTAATTGAAGTCCTCTTGTATAACATGGCAGCATTATTGGCTGGAGTTGCTGCCGGCTATGATGTTCGAATGTCAAATGTATCACCATTTCATCCGACACTGTTGAGTGATGTACCCGCCTTGAAAGCTGCACCCATTGAAATGGAACTACCCAAGGTCACGACAACCGAGGATCGACGTTTTGCCGCCAACACCTATCATGGTACAGGAAATAGGAATAGGTAAGTAATAATAAATAATAGATTAATTTAAAAATTTTTATATACTTTAAAATTCAAAATGTTACAGAGCCACAAGATCCTTACATTTTAAAGGCCAGATGTGTTCGGCAATATTGTTTACTTTTTCATTTTGAGCACATTTTCCGTTGAAGGAATTCCTTCCATTGATACCATCCTTCTAAAATGAAAAATTCCTGGAGAATTTGCCATAACTTTCCAAGGATCATGAAAATAACCGCAATACTGTATTCCTTTTTTGAATCAATTTGTTTTTGTTATTTTATTGCTATATGCAATGTATATAGCACTTAAAATATCTCGATGACCTGTAGTGAAATTTGATAGGGAACATTTTTTCTATTGACACCAACCCTCTAAAATTACCTATTCCAGGAGGATTTGCCATACATTTAAAAGAACTACAAAATTAACCTCAAACTGTATTTCCTTATGCAAACAATTTGTTTTTACTATTTTAGTGCTATATGTGATGTAAGTAACGATTTCATTTACTTGGCGGCCTGTAGTGAAATTCAATGGAGAATATTTTTTCCATTGACACCCCTCTTCTAAAATGGAGTATTCTTAGAGTATTTGCCCTCAACTCCCAACGTCTGCGAAATTAACCTCAAAACTGTATTTCTTTATGTAAACAATTTGTTTTTGCCATGTTATTGCAATATGTAATGTAAATAACGGGTTTGTTTACTCGGTGACCTGCTGTGAAACTTAGTGGAGAATATTTTTCCCATTGACACCCCTCTTCTAAAATGGAGTATTCCTAGAGAATTTGCCATCAACTCCCAAGGTCTGCGAAATTAACCTCAAAACTGAATTTCTTCATGTAACCAATTTGTTTTTGCTGTGTTATTGCTATATGTAATGTAAATAACGATTTCATTTACTTGGCGGCCTATAGTGAAATTTAATGGAGAATAATTCTTCCATTGACACCCTTTCTCTAAAATAAAGTATTCCTAGAGAATTTAACAACAACTCTTAAGGGCTACTAAATTAACCTCAAAACTCCATTTCTTTATGGAAGCTATTTGGAAGCAATATTTTATTGCTGTATGTGATGTAAATAACGGTTTCGTATATTCGGTAACCTATAGTGAAATTTAATGGAGAATATTTTTTCCTTTAGCACCAACTCTCAAAAATGAAATATTATGGCGATTTTGCCCACTATTTCAATAGCATACAACATTAAACTCAAAACTGTTTTTCTCCTTTCAGAACGGCCATTAGTTCTCTGACCTATGAACCCACAGATGTTCCCGGCTCTCCTAGACGTGCCGCTGGTCAAATTGCACCCCTAACCGATTCTCCTTTGGCTCAACATAAACAAAAACACAACTATAATATAACTGACTCCCCCACGCCTTATCCCAAATTTAACCCCAATTCGGGCTTGGCAAATATCACATCCCTGCCGCAGCATCAACAACAACAGCAGCATCCTCATCATCATCCGTTGCATCATGGCAAAAGTGTTACCCAGCCACCAACACCGCAACATTATGGCGGTGGACAGCAACAAATACGCAAAATGCCCTCTACCATATCGACAACAACAACAAGTGGTTTGGGTTCAAATTTCACCAACAATACCTCGGGTATATTGTCTTCCTCGTTGGGTAGTAGCCATACCCAACCGCCCACACCATCACCGCGTCGTAAAATCAGCACCTCTTCATTTACGGAAAATCTAGAATACTCGGAGCAGGAGGATAATCTACCAATAGACAAAGCTTTTCGAGATTTTCGTTTGGGTGGTCAAGTTGGTATGCCCGGCATGCCGGTGGTGGGTGGAGCAACGGGGGCCATGGTGGCGCCCAATCAATCAATGTTTACACCCAAGGATTTTTTGCGAAATGGTCCCAGTTTTTCCAATGATGGTGGGGCCTATGGCGCTGGAGCCCATCGAGCAGGGTATTTGGGTAATATTAAACGAAAACATACTCATTTGAAATTTTATTAAAATATCTCTTCCTGTTCTCTAGGTTCCAATTATTTCCCCTATCGCCCGGAACATCAGTTGACCTATGAACGGGACTGTAAATCCTATCCCGACTATTCGTATGACTACAATCATCGTTTGCCGAACTATTATGATTACAACTACGAACCCCAGCCACCACCACCACCTGCTCCACAACAACATCATGCCTCACCGCCAGTGGTGAGGACACCACCACCGCGGGTGCCACAAATGGGTGTTAGTGCGGCTGGTCATCGTCGTACGCCTTCGACAATATCCAATAATTCGAATTACAATCAGGGCTACACCATAGACTATGATGAGACAACGGCCTTTGATTATAATAATATGGCTCTCCCCTATGCCGAATATGGCCCCTATAGGGATCCCTCTATGGCCACAGGCTCTGTGCCGCCTCCCACAAAACAAGAACTGTATAAAAATTCCCCCAAGCCTTCGAATCGTTTTATGGCCTCCCAGCGCAGTGACATTGCAGCTCTAAATCGCATGCGAGATTATGAAAATCTACCCTATAATAGCAGCAGTCCTCTGCACAAGCCGCTCTATCAATACCGGGACAGTGGCGGAGGTGGAGCCACATCTTTGCATCACACTCCACAGCGTACAATTTATACGAGATCCCGATCGACACCCATGTCACCAATAAACATGAAAACCTCACCACCCTCCCCAGCACCCACGGTAGCGAAACCAAAGCCAACCGGTGCCGCCCATGAATCGGCACCCAGACTCATACCCGAACGACCTGATAGTTTACCCTTCGATGGCAATAATTTGGCATTTGTGGCGACGGGTACAAAATTACGTTCCTCATTGAAAAAGTACAATAATTATAAGACACCAAATGGGGCTCCCCTAAATGGAACATCATCGGCTAGCAATCCAATAAATGCTGGCGGCAGTGGAACCGCTGGCAGTACACCCACAAATCCCACGCCCCCCGATTCGTTGACCAGTGATGATAGTTCATATTTAAGTGCCAAAGAGGGTTCGATTTCGTCGCATAGTCGTGTACGTTTTAGTCCTGATGCCTATGCTGATGCTAGTCCGGGTGGTGGTGGTGGCGGTGGAGCTGCTGCCAGTTCTACAAATAAAACGTTGGCTTTGTATGCACGAAGATTGTCACGTCGCAACACAGCAGATATTTCGGGATCGTCCACCTCACCCTCATCCTAGCAGGGATTTGTAAATCTAAGGGTACAGATGGCACGTAGTCCGGGTGCTCGATCCAGTACATGGTCATTGAACAACTATGGTCAACCGGGACTAATTTCTCCCTCAGCAGCTGGGGGCGGGAATGGTCAACAATTGCCCTATCGTTGGTATTCGGGGGCAAGGCGGTCACGTTCAGCTCAGTATGAGTATCAAATGTGAAGCCTTGTCAATCTCTGTTTCGCTCTCTCTCTCAGCTTTTACCAACAACATTCAGGTTTCATAGGGAATACCAAAAACAAAACACTCACACAAATGGACTAAACAAATGTATCACACTCCCAACTCTCTCGCTCTCTCTCTCCCTTACAATGAGACTTAAGTGAGAGTGGGATATTAGTTACAATCGAATTGTAATTGATTCTGAAATCAAGTATTAAAAAACTGAAACTGATAAAATCATTTAAAAAAATAACAAAAATATTTTATAAGAAAAAGCGAAAAGCAAGCGAGAAAATAAGCACAAAACATTTCAAGTTATATTTGAAAACTTTTCAAGAAAATCATACAAATGATGTGTATCAAATATCGTTTAAAATGCGAAAAAGTAGCTGATGAAGCACCAAAAACAATGGTCAATCTTAAAGTCGCATGTTCTTAAAAGAATAGATTCCAACGAGGACTTTGTAAAAAAAGGTTTTTCCCATGCCAAGGTGGTTTTTTTTTTTCAAATACATTTACTGCGCTTTCCTTCAACAGGGATTTCGTTTAGAATATTTTTTCTAAGACCAGCCAGCAATGCAATCTTTGAAAGTATTTTCCAGGACCGGACACCAAAGGGGTTTCTTTGAAAATAACTTCCCAAGGCTAGTCAGCAACGAGGGTATTTTAAATTTGTTTTTCCCCAAAAAAACCTTTCTTAGGCCAGTTGTCAAGGTAAACATATTAAAAAATGGGATCTCCACAAAAGAATTTCTGTCTTTCTTAATATTTCGTTAGTATTTACTGTCTTGTTAGCTTCACAGTTCTAACTCCAGTTCCAGAAACCCGGCTAATTTTGCGAGCTAAAGCCAAAGATCTTCTGGAGTGAGTTGTTGTCGTAGCAGTTCATACTACTGTGTTGCTTCTGACTCTTCTCAATAGGGTACTGCTTCTAAGACCAGTCTCAAAAAGGATGCAACCTTTACAACGGCACTGGAGTTAGTTGAGTAGATTTGGCTGGGCTGCGAAATAGGTGCAGCGCCGTGTCATGTGGACCTGTGCCACAAGCTGGGCAGATGTTTTGCACATCGCTGTCAATCCGGGCCAAATAGGCATTGAGGCGGCTACACCCTCGGGATCTTAACTGAGCCAAAACTATTCGGGTTTGCCGGGGCAGCTCTCGCTCTTTAGCTGCGTAGGAAGGGGGATGGTCTCCTAGTGCAGTATTCTCTCTATATCCTTCCATGACTTCTAAGACCGCGTTAGAGTGGACACTATTCAGTCTCAAAAAGGAGCAACCTTTACGGGTTGGGTCCACAACGACACTGGAGTTGCGTGAGTAGGTTTGGCTGGGCAGTGTAGTAGGTACAGCGTGTCATGTGGACCTGTACCACAAGCTCCGCAGAATCGCTGACAATCCGGCCCAATAGGAATTGAGGCGGCTGCACCGTCTGGATATTAACTCAGCCAAAACTATTTGGGTTTGCCGGGGCAACTCCCGCTCTTTAGCTGCGATGGGAGGGGTCTGTTGATCTAGAGGCTCTCTCTTACACCTCTGTACCTATCTCTCTCTCTAAATCAGGAACGTATTTCCTTACATTCCTGGGCGGAGGTTGCCTATCCACAAGATGGTGATTGGGATGGATCTGTCTATAACACCCAAGCAGGTATTGCATTGACAGCATTTTATTATGCTGTAGCACCGGTAAGACCTTCGCCTCCTCATGTAGGTGGTCGACAGGTGTCATGAGGAGGCCCTGGTGCGAATGTGACCCCATTGATCTGTACATTAAAAAAAATAGAATAAAAGATAGCCTCATCTCCGCAGTCCATGTGGTGAAAAATATGGCCGTCGATTTAGTGGCGGATATATTAATATTCCTCGCAGTGAAAAAGGTGGTTAGATTACATTTATTATCCAACGTTTCAAACTTGGCCAGAGGGAGGTTCTGGAGTGTTTCGGGTAGGTTTGGCAGGGCAATTGAAGAGGAGACGAAGGTATACCTTTGACAATTCGTGTCCGATACCAGTTAAAAGGACTACACCATCCTTAAAGTAATTGCGCCAAAACTACCCTAGTTTGTCTAGAGAGGTGACGTTCTTCGGCTGCAATGGATGAAGGGCATCTACGACTTCATCAGTATGAATGTTATTCAGATCTGCCTGATAGACTTCTTTATCTAGAGGCTCTCTCTTAAAGTGTTGGACCTCCCTATCTAGATTATGTATGTCCTTCCTGACATAGTTGGTTGTGAGAGCATTATCCACCATATGATGGTTTGGACGATTCCCACGATGACACCCAAGCATATACTACAACAAAAGCCTATGATTATAATTCCATCATGTAGATGGTCTACTATTGTTATGAAGAGGGCAGCATTCTGGCAGGTCTGGATGTTTTTTTCCACTGTGTAGCACTTATATTCGCAGACAACTCTGAGGCCGCATAGCTGACCAAAGATCAATCTATTACGTTGTAACAGGACGACAAGCCTCCTTGTCCGCACCTCAAATGCTGCCAACTAACGCCTTGAGGATCTTGTTCCTACTTTTCATTTTGTCGTCGATAGCTGTGGCTTGTGCGGACGGCTTGAGCCAGCTGTCAACTACAGGTAGTTGCATCAACGCTTGGCAACATTGATATGTCGAAAATTTTAAAATGTTTTTCAAAAATAAGTAGATTTTTATAAGTTTTCTTATACAACGCCAATCGGAGGTTCTTATCATATAAATTTTTAAACAAATTTTACAAATTTGTATAATTTTTCATTCAAACTTTTCAATTTAAAAAGTGGTTTCACATTTTATTGTTCTAGCAGCGGCGTCGATACGACTGCTTGTAGTCTACATTGGTTTAGTAACGGATATTTTCATATTTTCAGGAGATAGAAAGAGCCCATTGGTATATATAACAGAAATTACTATGTGGCCGGACTGCTATAAAGATTAAAAACATGCATGAATGTTTAGGTGAAATGGTAACACATTCTTTTTATATGTTGAAGCTGGCGGGGAACATGTCAAATTTCATTTTATTTTAAGATATAATTAAAAAAAAAAAGATATGATAAGTGAAATAATTGTATTCTATGGAAGAAAATGTCGAGCATGTGACCTCTTGATATCATCTATGGTTGAAATAGCAAAAGAAAGAAAACAAATTTAAAGTAACATGAAATGCCATTGCTTTATTGTAATAAGTTAATGCTAAAAGGATCATATATTTATTTCATTGAGATAATGTAATATAAAAATGATTTTTGCAGCAAAAAATCGTATATATAAAAAATAAGAATTTTCGTTGTAACATGTTTTATTATAACAAATTTATGTTTTTTTATATTTCTAATTAATTTTGCTGACTTTCCAATCTGTAAATACATTTATAATTTTAAATAAATTATTATTATTATTTTTTACATTCCAAGGTGTCATCTCTCTCCCACTTTTACGCCAAATTAGTCATCATGTTTTGTTTTTGTAAATATATATATAAATATATTACAATCTTTTATTAGCCTTATTTCCCAAATATTCATAAAAAAATCTTTTTTTTATATATTTAAACAAAACAACCAATACAATACTCTAAATAATATTAATAAAAGTATATATTAAGACACAATAACATAAATGTTTTATAAAATTTTCCAATAAATAAAAAAATTAAAATATTTTATAGGAGTTTCAAAAAAAAAAAAGTTTTGCATACATGTAAAAATGCCTTACAAGAATAACAAACAAAAAAAATCAACTATTGTGTAAACATTTTTTTCCTGATCAAGTTCATATGCGAATATATATATATAAAGATTAAAGAAAGAAAATAAAAATAAGCCAATAAAAATGTATGAAAACTAATTAATATATATTAACTTTTGTTATGCAATATATATAAAAAATTGTCATTTTTTGTTTTTAGAGAGAGAAAAAAAAATAGCAACTTTGTTACAGCACGGGAACAGTTTTTGGTGGAAATTTGCAAAGGTGGCAAAAGTATTAGAAACAATGATCGAAATTAAGGCGAGAATACATAAAACGCTTTTTTGATTGGCTTAAGTCATTGGCTGGCTTCTTCGTAGAGGAACAAAAGAATTTTAGGTTGACTTAGTTCGATTTTGGCACTACGCTTCCTTGTTATTTTCGAAGATGCCAACCAAAAAAGCGTTTATGTATTCTCACCTTCAGAACGCTTTACTTTTTCCAATTTTTGTCGGTAACTCTCAAAATGGGTAAGAGAAAAATTATGGGCCGAAATTAAATGAGATGAAACCTTAAATCGGTGTAAAAATACAACACTGTTGCCATTTTTGAAAAATTTGAAATATTTGATACTTTTACATAATTGGAGTTATACTACGTTTACATACTGAACCTCTACTCGGTTTAGCCCTGATAATCGATCAAATACAATAATTTCAATGTATATTTTTCACAACAAATTTATTGTGATCCGTAAATTAAGAGGGCTAACCCTGGAAGAGACGTCGAATCTAAACGTGCTATTGTTCAACTGGTTAGAATTCTGGTTATTTTCGGCGGATGACTTGCTAGTAGAATACAGGTAGATGCATCAACGCTTGCAGGCAGACACAATTTTATAATTGAAAATTTTTAAAGAAAAATTATTCAAATTTTAAAAACTGGACATCTTAACAACCTTCGATTGAAAACAAATAAAAATCTACTTATATTTGAAAAAAAAAAAAACATTTTATAATTTTGGACATATCAATGTTCCCAAGCGTTGATGCATCTACCTGTATTCTTCTACCATATCTGACATTCTGGTCAGTTTCGGCAGAATTAATGTGTTGCCTGAAAGCTTTAAAAAATAATTGTTTAGGTTAAATATCGACACATTCCTTTCTCATATTTTCTATAATAAATTGACGGTGGCAGATCGACATTCTAGACGAATACAGGTAGATGCATCAACGCATGGGAACATTGATATGTCAAAAAATTTTAAGTTTCTCTTCAAATATAAGTAGATTTCTTTATGTTTACTTATACGACGTCATTCAGAGGTTAATAATATGTGTTTTCAATAATTTTTACAAATTCAAATAATTTTTCATTCAACATTTTCAATTCCAAAATTGGTTTGACAGTTCATTGTCCCAGCAGCTGTGTCGATGCGTCTATCTATATTCTTCTACCATGTTAGCACAATAACAAAAGGCAACCTTTACTTCAGATATTAACTTAGATTTTATTTTCAGGAGCTCGTGTATTTATAAAAAATTGTGACTTAGTAAATAATTATATTTAATTTCACAAAAATATACTTCTTTACTTCAACCCGTCATAAAAAGAAAGAGAGCGAGGAACATGAAACGTCACATATGTCAACAATGATTTTTTTCAACATAA